CTTAGACAAAAACAGAAGAGAAGTATGGTTTTGAGAACGGCTGATATAAAATCAGTACACCATCCAGATATTACATTTTTATAATGTACTGATTTTCAATCCTGGCTGCACATTAGCATTAAATGATAAACTTTTAAAAAATGTTGTCATGACTCTATCCCATTGAATCAGAAGCTTTGGAGGTGATATATTTTAATGTTCCTTAAGTGTTTCTAATGTGCAGACATGGCTGAGTATCATTTTGGTTAGGGGAGGAGGAAGCAAGATGAAAAAAGTAGCTTTCAGTAGAAGGAGTATTTCCTTAGTAAGAAAGAGGTTGTAGTGAAAAAGAGAACTATTTATTATTTTTATCTGGCCTACTCTCAAAATGAGTTTGAGGTAAAGTACCCTTTTTAGTACTTACCATGTCATGCACTGTTTAGTACATTTTACATACATTAGCTAATTTCATTACGACAACGCTATGAGATAGGAACTATTATTATCCTTTTATAGAGAGAGGAATTGAGGCACGGAGAAGTTAAGTAACTTGCCTAAAGTCATAGCTAGTTATATGTGGAATTAGAATTTGAACCTAGGCATTCTTGCTCCTGAGCAGACTTGTTCTTAACTGTGGTGAAAGACATGCAATAAGACTATGAAAGCAGTAATAAATATCAAGAGATAGAACAGCTAATGTAATTTATCAGATTTCTAGTCTAAGATTAGAGAGAGTTGTACTCATATTAGATTTAGCTTTGGGCTTCCTGATAACCAAGGCAGTCAGAGATTTTGTCTCTCAGTAGGCATGGCCTACATGGTTAAAATTGGGAGAGCATACATTCAGGTTCCTATCTCATCTCTGTTCTTACGTATTTTCTTTTCACCTTGTTATAGTTATTTATAAGGCCTACTTCTTCTTCTTAAAATGAGGATACTGAAGTGCTACCAAAAGGTGGTATTTATTTTAATGTTTCCAAAATATGCATAGACCGTTTGCTTCAAAATCTTCTGGAGCGTGTAGGTGTGGGTGTGTGTAAGATTATTTAAAATGCAGATTTGGGAGTCCCATCCCACATCAACTAAATCTCAATCTCCGGAGGTAACTCCCAGGAATCTACACGTTTTTCAGGTTCTTTGGGTAATTCTGATGTACGCTAAAATTTAAGAGTCACTGGACAAGGTGACTGTTAAGGTTATTTTCAGCTCTAAGTTCTATATATCTAACTCAGCTTGTGTATTATAGTTTGAGCTCCTTGAGGGCAAGTATCAAACTCAATTTGGTTCATTCATTCATTTTTCTTTTTTTTTTCATTCTTTTTCATATAAGAAACTTTTATTAAGCATCTAATATATTAGGCACTATATTTGATGCTGGGGATATAGAAATGAATGAGACAATCCTCTCTAGAAGTTTACAAAGTTTACAAAAGGAAAACAGAGCTGTAAACAAATAATTTCAATATGGAATAAGTACAAAAGTAGAGTTATTCACTACCTTTCAAGGAAGGTGTAATATCTCTCCTTGGGTGAGGCAAAGAAAATTACATAGAGAAGATTTTTGTATACCAAATTCCTGGCGCAGTAGACCCTGTAAATATTTAGTGAATTGAATTGGATGAGCTGGCCATTGTCTCAATTAAATTTCTTCAAGTTTTATACTGGCACTCTACTAGGAACATATTTCCAGTGTGAATATGCATGAAATGGAGGACATAGGCCTTGATTTACATTAATCTTTCATATATAAACTTAGCTAGACTATATGTCTAAGATACAACCTAGCTATATCATAACTATCTGCATGTTTCATAATTGTTTGAAGATGTGTTTATTTTGTCTCAAATAGGTAATACATATAACATACCAATTCGTTTCTGGATTTTGGATTCTCACCCTTTTGCTCCCCCCATTTGCTTCTTGAAGCCAACTGCAAATATGGGAATCGTAGTTGGAAAACATGTGGATGCTCAAGGCAGAATATACTTGCCCTATCTCCAAAACTGGAGCCATGTAAGATCGATTTGGATTTTATTCAAAAAGTTTTTATTTTTCTGAATATTTATCTTTGATACTGATAGTACAAATAAGTAAAATACTGCCTTTTCTTTCAATGGTATTCTTCATGTGGTCTTTAAAAGTAATTTGAGGCTGGCTGGTTAGCTCAGTTTGTTAGAGTGGGGCATTATAACACCAAGGTAAAGGGTTTGATCCCTGTGCTGGCCAGCTGCCAATAAAATAAAATAAAATAAATTAAATTAAATAATAAAAAATAAAATAAGATAAGATAAAAATAAAAATAAAATAAAATAAAACTAAATTAAATTAAAAAGTAATTTGAAATTGAGCTCTCTAGGGTCACCCAAGTCTCATAACCCGGATGACAACAGCTGCCCTCTCCAGGTCTAGGAGCTGACTGTTGTTTTCTCCCTGTCTTTTTACAGTTGTTTGCCTGTTGAGAAAGCACATGAAAAGCTAGCAGCAAGATATTAGGACAGTATTTCCTAGTCGCTCCCTATTAAAGGTTTCTATGTTTTATATATATATATGTAGTTTTGCCTATTTTTGACCTTTATGTAAGTTAAATTAAACTGTATGTCTTCTGTGGCACGCTTTGTTTCAACCTAGCGTTAAGTTTTAAAAATTTATCCACATTGATACATGTAACTGTAGTTTATTTGTTTTAGAAGTCCTCATGGTATGCAGTTTTGTATTGTGAATTTCTAATCTACCATTATGTTGAAGATTTCTCCATGTTAAACTGTTTTCAGAATATATGGTTTTAATGGTTGCTTGATGGTCCAGCACAAGGATATTACATAATGTATTTATAAATTGCTCTATTATAAGAAATTTAATGATGCACATCCTTAAATATAAATGTTTGTGTGTATCTTATCTAATAATTTCATAGTAATAAATCTCTAGGAATAGAATTATTGTATCAAAGGCTTTAAATATTTTTAAGTTTTTCTTATATATTGCCATATTGGCCTCCAAAAAGGTAGACAAAATGTAGTATTTCTACCATCCATAGAAATCAGTGTAGGAG